TGTTTGTTTTTTGTTTTTTTTTTGTTGTTTTTTTGGGGGGGGGTTGGGGGGGTTGTGAGAAAGATACAATTGAACATGCTTTTTGCCCTCTTTTCATACACATATTTGCTTTTTTAAACGTCCATTTCGTTTGTTTGTAATTTTCGCTTATTTCACCGTCTGTACTGTGAAGTGGATTCCTGTTTGATTCCGCACTAATTAATACCGCCGGCACGCGCATTGCAGATTTGGTTGCTTGGCAGTCCACAGCCGTTACCTCGCAGTGGTGTCATTTTTCCTCTGTTTGTGTGTAGTGCACCAAACGTTTGGTCCGTTTTTGTTGGATTTTAAAGAGTTTTTTCCCCTTGATCAGTTGCATGCAGTATTTACTTAGCTGCTAGCTGCTCCTTTCCTTTTTTATTTTCAGTTTGTCAATTTGCACAAGTCTGTAAAGACGTTTGAACATTTCCATTGTTCTCGCAGGGTTTTTTTAAACAGTACGGTTTTGCGCAACGGTATGCAAGTCACATTGTCTGACATGTAAATATAAAGTAGGCCTGTATATAAACATGCTAGACAGTATGATCTAAATAGCCTTTTAAAGTTAGCCTACCCATTGTCTGATAAACCAAGAGTGAACTAGAACGTCATTATAATGTCTACGTCTTTATATATCCATACTTCAAACTGTCCCAGTGATTCTTTTTATTTAACTATCGACGGAAAGATGGTAAAGTACAGAGTGGTGTAACTGTAGTTAATTTAGCTATCGATAAGAATAAAGAGAAAAAAGAACGGGGTACAGTATGAAGTAAGGTCAACGAGGATATAAATAGCACTATTTAGATCCCCTTTGACTAAGCTATGAACATAATTCCTGAGAAACGACTATGAGAAACAGTGTGGGCATTTCTAATCAGATTATATAAGGAACTAACCTGGAACTTAGAATGACAAAAGTGCCACAAAATTAGATATAAGACTCGTGTCGGCAGCAAGAAAATGAACGCTGAGACCTGGAATCAAAGTACAGTATCAGTATAGCATATTCGAATACATCTGCATGTGCCAGTAAGCCTCTGCAACTAGTAGGCCTACCAGTATGAATGCATTACCTGTGGATTTCTCATTAATTTAGTTTACTTGAAATTAAGCTTTCC